CAAGATGCCAAATCTAGGGGAAGGCTTTCTTTCACTATCAGCTCTGGAGGAAGGTCCTTGTCTTTTTTTAGTTTCTGCTTCTGGGTGATTTTCATGTGGTTTGACATCTTCCTTCATCTCTGTTTTTCTCCTTGCGTGTTTAATCCCTTTTATATCTCAAGAGAAATAAACTCAAGATACAACCTACACTAATCCTGCCTCATTAACATAACAAGGACAACCCATTCCTGAATGGGATTATAACCACAAGCATGGAAGTTAGGATTTACCACACATTTTTTGTGGACCACCACTCATCTGTCAGTTTGTCAAACTGTGTTGGCTTTCATGTCGCTGTGATGCTGTAAGTGATGCCACTGGTATTTCAAATACCAGCAGGATCACTCATGGTAGACGGGTTTCAGTGGAGCTTCCAGACTAAGACAGACTAGGGAGAAGGACAGGGCCATCCACTTCTGAAAAATCGGCCACTGAAAACCTTATGAATATCTTGGGTTGAAGCATAGCAAATATTCTGAGTATGGGTCTGTTGTATATAGGGTTGCTATGAGTCAGAGTCGACTCAACAGTACCTAACAACAACAACATTCTTGTAGACACAATTCATAATCCATAACACCATCTCTGACCACAATCTCTCTTCTATGGGTATCACTCCTGAGCGAGCTTTGTGACCTCATTTTGACCTCTTGTGTGTACCCTAGCTCTGTTCTTCTAGATTGGCCAACTCTTGTTAGATTCATTTTCTTGTGCTCCACAGCCTGCAGTTAGAGTATTGCCCTCAAAGAATCTCATATTCTTTCCCCCTAACTTTCTGCTGTATCCACCTTCCCCCAGCTATAGTCATCCCTTTTCTCTGTGCTCAGACTGCTGAACATTATTGGGAAAAGTTCTCAAATAAAATGCTTTGTACTTTAAATAAGCTGTCTTATTTAATGTGATCCTCACAGCATCCCTGGGGAAGTATTGTTGTCAATTTTATTGATGGTGGAGCTAGAGCTCAGAGAGGTTTAGTGACTCACCCAAGGACTCTTGGTTCACATTTCTAGCAACATCAGATTGCTGGTGTCATGTGTATTCTCTAAGATGATAGAGACTTTATAGCTCACCTTGGAGAGCTTGGTGGTTTGGAATTTAAACTCAGATCTGTGTGGCACCAAAACCTGCATGTTTTGCATTCCTTTCACCCTATTCCAGTTTGTTCTATCCAGTCGCAACTGTTTGTTCACAGGTTTTTTCCTTTTCTTAATTAATGACCTGATACATTCAGACCTTTCTTCTCTCCTTGAACCTTGAACCCAAACCCCAGCTCATTGTAGATAATTTAATCTACTACTTAACTGAAGATAAGGGCATCCAGCAGAATCTTCTTAAACATGTTTTTCTTCTACACTCTGCTATCTCTGCCTTCTCCTTAGGAGTATAGTATCTTCCTCTGTATTGTTCATTCTGTTCTCACTCCAGGGCCTTGCTTTATGATGTATTCCTATTCTTCCACCTTCAAGCTATCCTTTCCTGCTGACTCTTTCTTCTTTGCTTTAAAAAGAGAGAGAAAAAACCTGAAACACATCCCTTAGATTTAGCAGTACCATGGCAATCTCATCAAGACCCATTTCAGGAATATAATGGGTACACATTCCTGGAGGCAAAGAGTTGATGGCTGAATAAGAGATGTTGTTGTTGTTGTTATTTGCCGTGGAGTCGGCCCCGACTCATAGCGACCCCTCCTTGGGTTTCCGAGGCAGTATCACTACGGAAGTAGGATTGCCCAACCTTCCTTCCGAGGAGTGGCTGGTGGGTTTGAACCGCCAGCTTTCTGGTTAGCAGTCAAGTACCTTAGGCACTATGCTACCAGAGCTCCCGAATAAGAGATAGGGAATTGCAAATATAAATTCAGATTACTTTAAAGAAGGCTTACAGTGAAGGAGAGGAGGAACTATAGTGGAAGGACAGGTTTTTAAGAAATAGGATAGAAATAAACAGTTGCAAGTTAAAAAGAAAGAGAAGAAAAGTAGAGATCACTAGATTAAGACCTCAAAATGAGATCCATAGGAATAGCTGCAGATGCCTTTAATATATAAACTACCTGGATTCTTAAAAACCTAGCTGAAATGACTCCTCTCTGAAGCCTTAATTGGCTCAGCAGGAAGTATTTTTCTTTTGGGAACTCTGGTGGCATAGTGCCTAAGGTATCTGACTGCTAACCAGAAGGCTGGTGGTTCAAACTCACCAGCCACTCCTCAGAAGGAAGACTGGGCAATCTACTAATCTACTTCCTTAGAGATACCGCCTCAGAAACCCAAGGAGGGGTTGCTATGAGTCAGAATCAACTCAAGGGCAGTGAGTTTGGTTTGGTTTTTGGTTATAGCAGATCATACAGCATTTTTCATATATGATGCACCCACGTAAACAATGAGGACACATGTATATGTGCATAGTACACATAGAATACTAAACTTGAGGTTGCATCATTTGCAAAAACCCTTTAAAGTATGGGTTATTCACATACAAATACAGTATATCTCTCCTTGTACTTAACACATACTCTGTTGAATGATATGCAGCTGCCTGGATTTGATTCCTGGTTTCCACTGCTTACTAGCTATATGACATTGTGCAAATTACTTATTATCTCTGCATTCAGTTTCCTTGTCTATAACATGGGAATGATAGTAGTAGTAGCTACATCAGTGTTAAGAGGATTAATATTTGTGAAGCTCCTAGAATATGTATTTTTCTCCTACTAAAGTATTAGGTCCATGAGAATAGGAGCCTATACTTATTGTTGCTTACTATTTCCAAAATAGTCCTTACACATAATAGTTCAGAATTTGACTTTTGAAAGAATTTGCCAAATTATAAAGTAGGGAAGAGGAGCTCTGGTAGCATAGTGGCTAAGACACTTGCCTGCTAACCAGACTTATGGTGGTTCAAACCCACCAGCCACGCCTCGGAAGGAAGGTTGGGCAATCCTACTTCCATAGTGATACTGCCTCAGAAACCCAAGGAGGGGTCGCTATGAGTCAGGTTTGACTCGACGGCACATAACAACAACAAAAAAAAAAATTGTAAATGTTGGCGTATTATTTAGGCCAAAAAAGCTTTTAATGGGAGTTATAACTATCCCCTGGGATAACAAAAAAAAAAAAAAAAAAAAAACCCACTGCCATCAAGTCAATTCCAACTCATAGCGACCCACATAGGGTTTCTGAGGCAATAAATCTTTACAGAAGTAGATTGCCCCATCTTCCTTCTGTGGAGTGGCTGGTGGTTTGGACTGCCAATCTTTCTGTTAGCAGTCAAATGCCTTAGTCACTGTGCGAGTTGCCATCCAAGCAGTGTCATTTGTTTTCTTTGAACCACACCAAATCAAGGTAACTTCAGTTACTGGAATGTTAGTAAGTGGAAAGAAAGTAAACTGGATAATTTGGATATTTGGGAAAGCATATGCCTGGATTGACTAAGGGGTTAAGGACTAGCGGTAAGGAAGAAGAAAAAATAGATTAAATTTCTGCTTGAAGAAAATACACTGCTAGTTGACTTATTTTGTGTTTGCCTTTTGCATTTTTTATTTTGGGTCAGAGGTATCTCTATAGCAGGAATGGAGGAATGGCAAATACTGGTTTCATCCTGTATGTTGGTCGTATCTCCTGATGTGTGATACTGAGAAGAATTCTGAGGTTTCATTAAGAGTTTAATGGGCAAGAATACCTTGATGGTTTTACCGTGCCTCCCATAACAAAGGGGAAGATTGGCAAGAGAGAATGTTTCCTGCTTTGTCTCCTAAACTGGGGGGGCTGAACAAAGATGAATGGATTAGCAAGATGATGATTGTGTAATTAATGCTGTGATATTTAATTATACAGAAAATTACTCAGGACTCTGACATATTTTGACTGGCAGTCTTTAAATTTCATAACTCAAATGAATTCTGGCTTTATTGCACTATTTATCTTGACTGTTTTGCCCTTTAATTGGGATTTATCCTCATTGTCTTAACTTCTCTTTTGTGTACACCTAGTTCCTTATATTTATTTCTGTTAATCTTTTTCCTATCTTTAGGAATGCTTTTTCTAAGTCATTTTGGAAGAATTTTACATTTTTTCCTGTCCTGTTGGATTCATTTGCTTTTATGTTTGCTCCTCTTTATATTTGGCTTATTTTCCCCCCTCTTTTGCATCCATGATGCCCAATGAAATGTGATTTTTGGTATTGTGTAGAAAATTCCTTCCTACAGTTAAATTAGGAGCTCTGGTGGCGAAGTGCCTAAGGCATTTGACTGCTAACCGGAAGGCTAGTGATTGAAACTCACCACCCACTCTGGGCAACCTACTTCCGTAGTGATACCACCTAGGAAACCCAAGGAGTGGTCGCTATGATTTGGATCTGACTTGACAGCAATGAATTTGGTTTTGGTTTCGATTTAGAGTTAAATTAAATTACTGATATACATGGTTCAAATTTATACTACAATATAACTTTTCTCAGAGATTAAGGTAAAATGTCTTACTGACAATGTAAGGGAAATAGACAAGAGTTATGAAACAATCTCTGCCATTAAGGAATTTGTGGTCCAGTTGAGAAACTAGACTTACATATATGAAAAGTAAAACATTTAGATAAGTTTTAGTAATACTCCGTAGAGGTATACGTATACATAACTAATATTTATTAGTGTAGAATGATGGCTGTGGAACTTAGAGAAGGGAGTGATAACTTTAGTACAGGTCAGTCAGGAAAAACTTTGTCTAGTGGAATCTGAACTTAGTCCTGAAATATGAGTAATGTTTGAATTAAAGAAGACAAATCAAAGCTTCTTGTTGGTGAGTTTCACTGTACGCTTTGTCCTTAAATTTTTTTCATAAATAAAACTTGATGCGAACTATTGTCTTTTAGTGTTATCTTGTATCCAGTGTAGTTCTAGTAAATACTGGAAGTGTTTGCCATCTCAGTTGCTATATCTCTGCCTTCAATCTTCTGTTCCTGTGTTTTTGTCACAGGCATCCTGATTTTCAGCTGCTACAGGAAGGACAAAGGTATGGTTGAATCAATATCACTTACCTTCTATATAGTCGTATTAGTAGAAACATTAGGAATAAACCAGGTGATAGGAGCTCTTGGACTTCCTGTGCTGATACATTATGTAAGTATCCCATTCTAATCCACACAAAGAAATATTTGGCCTGTTTAGCTTTTTCTTTTGTGATGGTAAGATGATGTGTTTGGTTTGTATGATTTATTGTACAGCTGCTCTTACTGAGAAAGTCTAATTGAACCTGTTGAAATATGACACAAACACAGCTTCCATCTGAGATACTGTGGTTCTTTGTCAACTAGAATACAGCAATTACATTTGTTGAAAGGTTTTTACATCCTATTTTGTAGAATTTCAAGACATTAATGTATTGGTTATGTAATTATTTGAAAGAGCGACTACAGCAAAACATTAATAGAAATTCCAAGTTGTGATTCCTTCCCACCCCTCACCACCTGAAAACTCTCTTCTCATTGTTTTGATTGCCCAGCTATAGCTTCTCTCAAAAAAATATCTTTTCACTCCCAGGATAAAATTCCCTGGTTATTAATCACTACCTTTATTACATGGAATTGTGTTTTATTTATTTATGCATATCTGTGTAGTTTCAAAATAATATGGGAAAATATAATTGCCTTAAAATTCCACCTCCAAGAGAAAGTATGAAGTACATGAGAGTTGAATTGTTATAATTTTAATGAAATTATACTTGCTTCGTGCCTAAGGCATTTGACTGCTAACCAGAAGGCTGGCGGTTCAAATCCACCAGCCACTCCTCGGAAGGAAGGTTGGGCAATCTACTTCCATAGTGATACTGCCTCAGAAACCCACGGAAGGGTTGCTATGAGTCGTATCCGACTCAACAGCAGTGAGTTTGGTTTGGTTTTTGTCCTGTCTGATTTAAGAGTCAGTCCCATGGCTGTATAGGCTAGATTCTAACTTTAAAAGGATATTTAATACTGAACAGACTTATCACCCTTTCTCCATTCACATCCACAACCTCGTTTTCAGCTTTGTTTTTTTGTTGTCTGTTTACTTGTTTGTTCATTTTTCATTTCTTTTATATTGTCTCCCCAGCATGCTTCTTGACCCAGAATGCTTCTCATTCTGATCTTTTATTTGAATGTGGGTTTGTCTGCGAGCAGCTGCTCACTTATCCTTGTTTGTCTCGAGTTTTATTGGCACAGCTACTTTGTGCCCTCACTTTTTCTTAATTTTTTTTTAATTCATTTATTTTTTTAAATTGTGATTTGGGTGAAAGTTTACTGAGCAAATTCACTTTCCACACAGCAGTTCACATACACTGCCTCATGACATTGACTACAATTTACCACAATGCAACAGCTCCCCTCCCACTTCCTCCTGATAATTACCTCTTCCCTGTGTCCATCCTTCCATACACTCCTGCCCCCTGAGCTACGTCCCTGTGCATACATAGCCCTTCTCTGAATTCTTAATCTCTTTCAAACCTAACCAGAAAATGGAGGGAACATAGTTCAAAGGAAAGTAGTTGTCTTTTATTGTTAGCTTTCTATTATAACTCTGGGTTTTAAATTTAAGTCTTTCACAATTTGCCAGCTTTAATTGAAAAACTTTATGTTTTTTGTTCTATCTATGAAATCTTGTGTATGATTGTTAGTGAAAATTGGAAAATATTTACCCATCCCTTTTCATTTTCTTATCTTTCTAAACAGGGTTCTTGTAATATGGATCTATTTGGAGAAACCAGTAATGACATTTTCAAAAGAAAAATATTTTTAAAAGATTAAATAAACAGTTATAGAAAAGGAATAAGCAAAAATCAAAATAATTCAACAGGATGGAATTATCAAATGCCTCTTTTTGCTGTACTCTTTTAACAAATTTTAAATAGTTGGAAAAAAAGATAAGATGATGAAAGGAGGTCTATATCAAATATGTACTCATTGTAGAGATATTATAGTCTTCTTTTGAAATCTGTATATCAAAGCCTATTAACAAGGCTTTGCCTAGGGGATAAAAATGTTTACCTTGAAAGTTACAAACTGTAAGTACTGTGGGACACTTTGCTTTCCTGTTATAGTTAATTTGTTTATTTTTCCTTCTACAGTGGCCATTCTGGAGAAGAAGTACAGTTATGCATTCAGGCCATTAAAACATCAGATATTGACAATCCTGGTCATTCTGAAAAACACTATGAATCTAGTTCTTCTAGCACTCATAGTGATAGTAGCAGTGATAACGAGCAAGACTTTGTTTCCTCCATTCTTCCAGGAAACAAACCAAATGCAACGGGTATAAGGCCACAGCTGCACCAAAAAAGCATAATGAAAAAGAAAGCTGGTCACAAAGTTAACTCCAAACACAAAGACAAAGAAGATGCAGTAGTAGATGTCACTGAGCAGTTAGACAGTTGCAGATTAGACAGTCAGGAGAAAGCTGCTGCTTGTGTACTTCCTTCACAGAATGTAAACACTCAGATTGCTTCAGATAGTTCTTTACAAGAAAAATTAGAAGCTTCAGAAAATTCTGAAAATAAATACATTACATCAGAAATAACTCTAGTAGGCATAAGTAAGAAAAGTGCAGAACATTTTAAGAAGAAATTTGCCAAATCAAACCAAGTTTCTAAGTTGGCCTCCAGTTCAGTGCAAGTTTGTCCTGAAGTTGCAAAGGCAAACTTACTTAAAGTCCTGAAGGAGACTTTAATTGAGTGGAAGACAGAAGAAACTTTGAAGTTTTTATATGGTCAGAATTATGCTTCTATGTGTCTGAAACCCCCTTCAGCTTCTTTAGTTGAAGCAGAAGAGCTTGATGAAGATGACTTAACCTCTGACCCAGTCAGTCATTCACTTGCCTTAAGGGACTCTCAGAACAGCTTGGATGAGGCTTTGCCTTTTATGGGTTCAGATACAGCCATTAAACTATTGCCAAGTTATGAGAACTTGAAAAAAGAAACTGAAACATTAAATATAAGGATCAGGGAGTTTTTTAGAGGACAATATGTTTTGAATGAAGAATCGACCAAAGCACAAGACTCAGAAGAGGTATGTCCTAATGACATGTTTTTCCATGCTGCTAATGCATGGAAAAATCACCCTGGCAAATCTTGGAGCAGGCAGAACATTGAAGAAATCATTTTTAAATTTTCAGACAGCTTTTTCGTCATTCTGTCTTTTGGTTTAAAAGTCTGCCTCCAGTATTGGCATTACTATTTTCCAAATAAATTGATGTTTGCCCCTGGTAAATTTTCTAAAAGGTGTAACATTTTTCTCTAATGTGGAAATAGCCTAGAACGATGAGGCAAGATTTTCTTTAAAATTTAGTTTTTCATATATTAAATCAGTTTTGTGAAAAGGCTTGCCTATTCTTTTTTGGTATGTATTCTTTTAAATTTCTACCTGCAGTGTATGTCTATCTTCCCCTCTCCCACAATGGGATTGTATACAGAATAGACTTATTTATTGAATAGTAAAATACTCATCTGGATAATATTTGGGAAACATGCCCATGTGAAATATTGTAGATGAAAATAATACAGTAAACGAAACTTACTGGAAAGTAATAGGTAAAGGAGAGACTGGAAAGAGCACAGTCAGATAGACTTAGGTTTGAATCTCTGCTGTCACTTCCTGTCTGTACGAAAAGTCTTGAGTCTGTTTGCTTAGCTGTAAATGGAATTATTAATGATTTCCCTTTCGTATTATGAGTTTTAAAGATGATTTATGTAAAGCATTTATTAGTGTCTGACATAAAATTGATAGTAACTAGTAATTAAATGTAAAGACTGAATTTATGCAACTGAGATTTAAAAGTCACATTTGAATGTGACTTTATAAAGTTATAACAGTCTGTTAACTCACTCTGCATACTTTTCTTAGTAATTCTTTTACCTATTTTTAGTTGATGTGGTGTGCTGTCTGGAAAATGAAGTAATTTGTCATGAAAAGGAGTCATTTTAAACAAAGCTGATAACTTCATTACCTGGATTCCCTGGAGATTAATTTCTCTGAGTGAATGTTTTGGATTTTGGTCATATTGTCTTACTATGTGCCCAAAATTGTATATAAAAAAATTACAACGATAACTTGGGACTTGGGGTGATGATGTCTTCTTCTAGAGTGGGTTTATATTTGCTTCTGGCCAATGAATTTGTAGCAATTCAAGACCTTAATCCCTGTAAAACCCACTGCTGTTGATTCAGTTCCAACTCAGTAGGGCAGAGTAGATAGAACTGCTCTACAGGGTTTTCAAGGTTGTAAATCTTTATGGAAGCAGGTTGCCTCATCTTTCTCCTGTGGAGCAGCAAGTAGGTTTCAATGGCTGACCTTTGGTTAGCAGCTTAATGCTTTTTTTTAACCACAGTGTCTCTCTAGAGCTCCTTAGTCCCTGTAAGAGCCAGTCTATTTCCTTTCCTTTCTTACATAGAGTGTGGTCCTTCTATGTCCTCATCTCAAGCCTGGGAGTGGGGCTGGGGTGGGAGGATGTTTCCAGTACTCCCTCCTAGGCATTTCCTCAATTTTTAATTTTTATTTAAAAAAACTGTGCTCAGGTTCTCAGTATCTCAGTTGCTTCATCTGTAATTGGTCAGCACTTTCTCTGCAATAATTTATCTAGGATCTCAGGCCACTGTTTTTCACTTGGGGTAGTGCCTAAGGCCTTTGACTGCTAACCAGAAGGCTGGCAGTTCAAATTCACCAGCCACTCCTCAGAAGGCAGACTGGGCAATTAAGTTCACAACAGCCTATGGCTGAGTTGATACTCTAATCTTGTCATTTTTAAATCTAGTTATTTTTCTACAGTGCCACAATTATCAATAAAACCCAAAAGTTGACAACTGTGGCACTGAAAAAAATTAAGTTTTAATGTCAATTGTTGTTACTTACCAGAAAAAGAATATAAAATTTTGATTCTGTTTTGTTTAAAACTCTGATTCAGCATGATCCTACCTTTCCACTGATTGATTCAAGTTCTCAGAACCAGATTAGAAAACGCATCGTACTTGAAAAATTGAGTAAAATGTAAGTATGTAATTATCATTCCAGTTTTGTAATATTTTTAATTAACTTGATATTTTGAGTTCATAATTTGTATGTATTATCCTTTAATTTTGAACATTTTTTTTTTGTTTTTTTGTTTTTTTATTTTTTTATTTTTTTAATTTTGAACATTTTGAAAACTAATGTGGACAGTTCACATTGAATTTTTTCACTTGGGAATTTGTATTTTTAAAATATCCCATTAAGGCAATATTGAAAGGAAGAGGTACAAAATAAATAGGAAGGTTGAGATTATGGAAGTACACAGCCAAACTACTTTACTCCCACTTAATCCAGTGAAGTTAGGGAAAATGTCAAAGCTAGCCTCATTTAAATACTGATTTGTGGTAAATGCGTAAATCAGTTGGACATTTGAATGTGACTTTATAAAGTTATAACGGTCTGTTAACTCACTCTGCATACACACTCAGAACCATTTAACATTCAGCAACCTCAGCTTTTGTTCAGCTCAGCTTTTCATTTTAGCTTTTCGCTTTCCTGTGGTGGAAACTATTGTTCTTGTAATTAGCCCAGTCATAAATGACATTTTAAAATTACTATTTTGGTTTCTCTTTCAAAAAGTACATGAAAATCTTTTTTTTTTTCCCAGAGGTCTGAGGGCTGTCTTGAACTTTTCAACTTGCATTTTCTCTCTTTTCTAACAAAAGATGGGGAGGTGTTTTTAGTTGTTGTTTAAGTTGTGCATATGGGGAAATCTTAATTTTATAGCAGTTTGAAAATAAGAAAAACACATATTTTGAGCAACCCAAATATGAGCATTACCTGTGATATAATGAGAGGCATGATTATTTTACTTTAAAATACATATTTCAAAGCAAAACTTGAAATTATTTTTGATTGCCTTTGTATCTTGTTTTGATCTGTTATAAAAGATGAGTTAATAGGAAAAACTTACTCCTCTAATACTTACATTTAGAATAAATATTTAAATATCTATGAAGTGTAAGTGAATGGCTTCATATGTAATAAATCTGTACCAGTCTTGCCTTTTATCTCGTCTTCATACTTACAAGGTTATTTCTGTTAAGAATTGGCTTAGAAAACAGGGTAAGTCATCTGTCTGATTCATAGAACAAGAAGATATCAACCTTTTACTTTAGTTTTAAAAAGTTGGAATGGATTATCAATACATAGGGATTTATGTGGAGATAGGTCTCTAGACTTTTTTAGCTACTGAGAGTATCCAGTTTTAAATTTAAGCAATTTACAAAGTCATATGCATGTCATTGAAGAAATTGTGTTCCTTTTGGGTTTTGGCTACAATAGCATACCGAAAGGAACACTGGCAGAAGACCAAATTATTGATTATATATATATATATATATATATATATATATATATATATATATAATGTAAGTATGCTCATTCCCTTTGATTCACTGTGTTATAGGAAAAACCTAGAAGAAAAGAAATACATTTGCTGTATAATATGTATCATATACAATAGCATGATAAAATGTTATTATGTGCCGTTGAATCAGACCAACTCATAGCTACCCCACCTTGGGTTTCCGAGGCAGCATCACTACGGAAGTAGATTGCCCCATCTTCCTTCCAAGCAATGGCTGGTGGATTTGAACCTCCAGCCTTCTGGTTAGCAGTCAAGTGCCTTAGGCACTATGCTAATAGGTATGTTTTAATAAAAATGAGTCAGTACTCTATATGCATTTTTCACTTAACATTTATTGTAACTCTTTCCACATTGAAAGAATACAGATTTACATAATTTTTTTTAATGTTTTATTATATTCTGTTATGGACATTTGTTTGTAATTTTAAAATTATTTCTGGGAGCTCTGGTGGTGCTTAAGGCATTTGACTGCTGACCAGAAGGCTGGCAGTTCAAACCCACCAGCCACTCCTCGGAAGGAAGATTGGGCGATCTATCATTTTGTTTTTTATGTTTATATGATTATTTTCTTAGGGTAAATTTTTTTCATGATAAAACTGTGTGGTTGAAGAATATCCGTCACTTTTAAAATCTTAGTATATGTTGTCAAGTTGCTCTTTAGAAAGGTGCCAATTTTCACATAACCACCTTGGACCATTTGGGCCAGTTGCTTTGACCTTGTATTCTCTTGTTCTAGTACTGAAAGTAAAGAGGTAAGAAAAACTGTGGAGGTGATAGTAGTCAAAGTAATTTTTTGTGTTTCAGTGCTTACCAGTCTGTAACATAGACTACAGAGAGGAATATAAGGTTTTGCATTGTAACTTTTCACCAGTTGTAACCTAGCTTCATGTTTTGTTTAAAATTATAACTGTTTCTTGCCATTATTACCATGGAAAATTCAGACTTAGACATGACCCAAAAAAAGGTATATATTTAACTTATATGTTAAAGGAAATGTAATTTTTTATTTTCAGATTGCCTGTATTTTTGGGGCCTCTTCAGATTACATTAGGAGATGTTCATACACAACTTAAAAATCTTGTCCGAACTTTCAGGTTAGTGTTAACTGTAACAATTTTTCTTTTCTGTTACTTTGACTGTATGTAATTGCCGTTAGAATCTATGAATAAACTAAGCCATGGAGAAAGTTAAATGATTTACCTTCATTGTCTTAGATCTAAATATAATGTTCCATTTTCCCCCATAGCTAAACAACATTATTTCTATCCTCTGTTAAATTCAACCTCTTATTAACTCATCTTATTATATTTTGCTTTGGATAGTTTATTTATGGGATAACCTAACATTAAAAACAAAAGAAAATATTTTTATCAGTGACACAAAGGTGGTTAAGTCAGTAACATCTTAGATGTTAGCAGAGCTCTGGTGGCACGGTAGTAAAGGCATTTGGCTGCTAACCAAAAGTCAGCAGTTCAGACCCACCAACTGCTCCAAGGGAGAAAACTGAGGCAGTCTTCTCTCATAAAGATTTATAGCTTTAGAAGCCCTATGGGGCAGTTCTACTCCGTCCCATAAGGTTGCTGTTTACCTACTGTTGCTCTGACAGAAAATACACCACAAATGGGATGGCTTGAACAAACAGAAGTTTATTCTGTTACAGTTTGAAGGCTTTAGGTCCAAATTTAAAGTGCCAGCCCCTCAACCTTGGGCTTCAGCTTTGCCTCCCACTCCCAGCCCACTGAAGCTGCAGGCTTTTCTTCACTCAGACAGCTGCTGGCTGCTGAGGCTGACAAACCCAAGGTCGACAAGTAATAAGGCACAGTCCTAATATTACCAAACCACCCGACAGGCCATTTATTCAAGTCCATTGAAAGTCCCACGATCTGCAGAGCATGGCAGGCTGCTGAACAACGACTCAGCTACATGCAGGGTTCAAGCATGCCATCAGCTAGAAACATTCCCAAAGCTCCTTCTGATATGTGGAAAGCAGACCACATCCCTAAAGCAGCTACTCAGCTGCTTATGGTAGATCCCCGCATGAAGCTGATTGCCAGTCTCATCATAGGAAATAACTACCACCAGCTGCCCAGCCACTCAACCAGGCCCAACCAAGTTGACACACAACCTTAACTACCACAGTTGCTATCAGGCAGAATGACACAGTAGCATTGGGTTTGGTTTTTTGGTTTTTACATATATATCAAATGACCAGCCCTATGCTAGGCACTGTAGTCAATACAGAAGAAGCATGATGTCCACACTCAGGAAAGACCTTTCCTTCAGAAAATAAGGTGAACACAACGAACAGTGCAAGATAGTAGGTAATTTAATATTGAGTTGTGTAGAATAGATTTAAAATGCTATAAAAAAAAAGGAGTATATAAAAAAAAAGGGAGAATAGAGAGATCTGATACCACTTTGAACTTGAGATTTTCGTAAACTATTAAGGAAGAAATATTCAACCAGGCTAAGACTAGATTCTCTATACCAAGAAGCATAGGGTTGGGCTTCTGAATACCTTATTACTAGCTGTGTACCAAATAACACATTTTGGTGAATGTCAAATGACCAAATATTTGCACAAGGCTAAAGCCAGATAGCACCAATATAAAATGAACATCTGAGGTACAAGAATCAACTTACCCAAAAGTTAATGATTGTTATAATTAACTGTTTCTAATAGTAGTATTCAGAGTCTAAAACTTTAAAATTACAGTAAAAGAACTATACATTTATAATAACAAATATACATTCACTTGCAACTGGTATGTTTAAAAATAGTACGTTTTTGAGTACCAGTAATTGACTGCTAACCAGAAGGCTGGCGGTTCAAACCCACCAGCCACTCCTTGGAAGGAAGGTTGGGTAATCTCTTCCATAGTCATACCGCCTCAGAAACCCAAGGAGGGGTAGCTATAAGTCGGGTCTGACTCAATGGCACATGACAAAAACAACAATTGAGGAAAAAGTTTTTCAATAAATTGTTTACTAGAACAAACTGTGAGCTCTGGTAGCGTAGTGTCTAAGGTATTTGACTGCTAACCAGAAGGCTGGCAGTTCAAACCCACCAGCCACTCCCCGGAAGGAAGGGTGGGCCATCTACTTCCTTAGTGATACCGCCTCGGAAACCCAAGGAGGGGTCGCTCTGAGTCAGATGCAACTCTTCAGCAGTGCGTTTGGTTTGATTTTTTGGTTTAGAACAAACTGTATTTAAGATCATAGCTTAAGCAATCCTCAGGAATTCTTCAACTGCAGAAAAGTTTTTTTTATTAATTTTGTTGTTAGAAAATAATCATTTTTTAATACTTTAATATTTGGCCTCAAAACTACAGTAGTTATCTTCTTAAAACATTCTTGTAAAGTGTTTAATATGAAGTATGACTGATAAGAACAAATTGTGTTTGGGGTACCCTGTTTTTCTCTTAACAGCTTTGTCTTAATATTTTATTATATTTTCATTAGAGATTATATTTAGATGATTGTATATATGTTATTTAGGAGCTCTGGTGGCATAGTGCCTAAGGCATTTGACTGCTAACCAGAAAGCTGGTGGTTAAAACCCACCAGCCATACCTCTGAAGGAAGACTGGGCAATCTACTTTCTTAGAGATAATACTGCCTCAGAAACCCAAGGGAAGGTCTCTCTATCAGGCAGAATTGACTCATCAGCAGTGAGTTTGGTTTTGTTTGGTTTTGATATATATTATTTACATAATTTAGACATTTTTCCTCATGAAATTTTGGAATATATTCTGCTTTTAATTCATAATCATAAGATGTGAAAAATTCCCCTGTAGGACTCTTTCTTAAAAGATTTATAGAAATAAATAATGAAAATTTAAATACAGCTTTTAAAGGTTTTTATTTTAATATTATGAACACATAATGCAGTTCTGCAAAGATTTGAATTATGACAAAATACAATTCTTCCTTGTGTTATTATTTAAATTTTTATTAACAATTTTGTTTCCAAGATATAATGTTCTTGAGAAATTAATCTGCTTTATTAATGTTTGTATTAATTGTCAATCTTTTTTCTAAATAATTGAAAGTTCTCTATTGTTTTTATATATCAATTTAACACTTCAAAAGGAACATTAATTATTATAGCACACTTACCGCCTATTATTTTTATTTTTAGTACAGTTATTGTTAGCAATGTGTACTATATTAGCAGTGTGTAATTTGCTGATGTTATCATTCTCACATGTTCACTGACAGATGCCCAGTATTATGATTTGCTGTTCAAAATACTGCTGTATAGCAGACTATGGCCTTGTATACAGTGAAGTAAGTGTCAGGAATTATAACTGTTAGAAATAGAAAGTTGGATTATGTTCAGTCTTAATGACATACAACAACTGAATGTACACAAACCAGACAGCTGTTTACACTCTTGACTTCACTGTTACAACACTGATGCTGACTTCATTGTACACTGGGTCTATGGCATGATCTTTGTTCAGCATTTCATACCATCAGAGCATCAGTTGATAATTTGAAGTTAAGTTGTTCTAACCCCCAAAGATAAATAAAGATTGGATTTATAAAAATGCTGATAATAAAAGGCAATAGTAATGAAAATTTTTTTTTTAAAGGTATTTATGTCAGAACTGACTTAATGATGGAGTCAATGGAACAGAACCCTTCATGAGTCAGAGACTACCTGTACTATCTCATTTAATTGTTAAAACGTAATGGTATTTTCCTCATTTAACAGATGAAGGATGAGACAGATTATGTAACCTCTCAAAACATACAACTAGTAGTTGAATTTTGACCAAATCTATCTAAACCCAGAGCCCGTGCCATGTTCTTTTGCCACTCCTCTTGGTAGAAGAAAAGATTATTGATCAATCATAAGACAGTATGGATGCAGCTTTTTAAAAAGTTTGTACATGTTTCAAAGAGAGGCTTAAGTCCTTTGCTTTGATACAGGTCGGTATCTTCTATAGTTAATGATCCTTTTGATCACTTGGTCACTACACTAGTAGTCAAAAACTTCTTTAAACCCAGACATCTATAGTAGTTTTTAAGAAAACTTTATAGTTTTATCTTTCGTAGCCATTATTATGTTGAAAGTTGTCACTCTTTTCTACCAAATTTTTATATGTTTGAGTTTTGGAGTAAGAATAAAGGGGGACATGGGACTACATCCCACCTGTTTGGTTAGATGAAGCTAGGATGTGATTTAATCAGGCTTTTATATTTCTTAGTATATTTAAGGCTACTAATTCTCAAGCTACTGTTTTTACTCCACCACCACACCTGACCCCATAGCACATTGCCTTTCTTTTATACCACCCTATTTTTATAATTTGTAACATTATCATAGAAGAATGAGTTTATTCAGAAAATACCAAGTTTCTCCTAGGGGCAAGACCCTGCACAAACACTGGAATATAATCCTGCCTTGATTACTAGATGATAATTCTTATCATCTAGTGTGGAAGATACTAAGTAGGTTGCTGTTTGTTGTTATGTGCTGTCGAATCAGACCTGACTCATAGCAACCCCTCCTTGGGTTTCCAAGGCAGTATCACTATGGAGGTAAATTGCCCCATCTTCCTTCCAAGGAGTGGCTGGTGGGTTTGAACCTCCAGCCTTCTGGTTAGCAGTCAAGTGCCTTAGGCACTATGCTACCAGAGCTCCCATTAAGTAGGTATAAGTATGATAAATTAAACAAATTTATCATACAGGAAGTTACTGAAGTCTGTATTAGGGAATTAACCTTGTCAGGAAGGGACATTGTATCATTAGGGACAGCATCCCAGAGGTAGTAACAATAAAGATGAGACATGAAGGATGAATGCTTATGTTATTTAAATTGTATTGTTTTTCTCAGTCTCTGAAAAAAAAAAATTGCAATTTTATTGAAGTAGTACTCCAAACATTTGTCTAGTTTCCTCATGTATGTACTACAGTAACATGTGGTAGTCCATGTGCTTAGAAGGATACAACAAATAGACAACCAGTAGTCTCATCAGACTCAAATTTTCTGTCAGAAGAATGTGAAAGACTCAGCGGGCCTAATAGAGTTGTTATAAAAGGTATTGACCATTGGTTGTCTCCATGGTAATTAATATCAAAGATA